GGAAGGAATTTAAATATCATGTACACAAGTTACTGCACACCTAAATAACCTTTTGCTACCTTTGGCACCCTCAATACCTTTGCTACCTTTCAATACCTTCGATACCTTTTCTACCCTTGATACCTTTGATACCTTTGCTACCTTCGATACCTTCGCTATCTTTGCTACCTTTGCTACATTCGCTACCTTTGCTACCTTCGATACCTTTGCTACATTTGATACCTTTGCTACCTTCGATACCTATGCTAGCTTCGATACCTTTGCTACCTTCGCTGCCCTTGATACCTTCCATACCTTTTATACATTCGCTACCTTGGATACCTTTGCTACCTTGGATACCTTGCCACCTGTGAAATACTTTTATTACATATATTGGCAGTGTTTACTGTGCCTGAGTTCATGTTATCTCTCTTCCAACCGGAAACATATGTCCAATCTGTTCTGTTCTGTTTAGTCAGTGATTAGTCAATTTGATTGTAGAAGTTCTTCGTAAAATATTTTCTCTTGTTTTGCCTGGAGTAATTTAACATTATTAATAATTAACTTTCTCATCAACCAATCGCAACAGACCTTGTTCGAGCTGCTACATGACCCGAATTCTATCTGGTTAATATTTATGTGACATTTGTATTGTGCGCAGTCCACTGAATGATTATAGTGGGCACTTTATGATACTGTATAAATTATCTATTTAGTTTCACGTGTGATCACCAGAATTTACCATTCACCTAAGCAAACAATTGATTGTGATGTCCAAAAGAACAATTTTACTGCAACAGGATCAGCATTCAAATTTCATGGTATTGACTTGTAGAAGTATGATATAGAACCCTTGCACCAGGAACGATGCTTAATGATACAGTTCTTGCTATCTTGTTGGAGTAAGTGTGATAATACTTAACCCATCAATTGTTTTTTTCAGAACTTTTACATCAATTAATCCTTAAAAAAATTACTTTTATTTCATTAGAGAACTTGCCTGTTCCTTTCAATTGATCAACTCTTTTACTCTGTTCTTTGCAGAGAGCAAGGTGTTAGAAAGACAACAAGCAGGTGAAATAAGTGAAGGTACTGATGAATGATGTAATATCATGCATAAGAACCAGGGAGCAGCGTGGCAGCGTCCTCAAAAAACTTAGCATCAAATGTGGTATAACAACTGCTTAAAATAGACAAAACACTTCTAAAATATGTATAGTTGTGATGTGTTCTCTTTCAGGACCATATGCATGCATGTGCATCTGGTATTTGCTTATATGTTTTCTGTTACAAGGTCGGAACGAATTGAAGCAGCCTATCAGTTTTTTAAGGCAGATGTGTTGAGGAATGATTACATAGTAATTCCAATCAATGGGAGGTATAAGTGTCAATTCTAGGCTTGCATAATCCTAAATTAATTGTGCAATGCTTTGTTGGATTGCTTAATCCTAAATAAATTGTGCAATGCTTTGTAGACTCCACTGGTTATTAGCCATCATAACCCCATGGTATGTACAGTGTATATTGTACTTTTTATTCAAAACCAGTCCTAGCTCTAAAGGTGTAGAACACGATATACCATTATCATTACAAAAATGTATCACATTCATTTACAGGCATATACTTTTTTTGTTGGATATTCCTACTACGAAAGCTGAAATTAAGTATTAAAACAGATTGGCAAAATTTTGTTCACTTTGTTGAGCACATTTGTGCACAAAACATACATTTATATTTACATATTTTAATTTGTCTAATATGTCAGGACTTCATGATAGATGCTGAAGCTTGGAATGCCATGCTTTGAAGGTATTTATAGATTTTCAAAGTGCATTATTAAGTAATTTATTTTGTACCTCTTTTTCCAAGATTTTCAAAGTGTAGTATTAAGTAATTTATTTTGTGCCTCTTTTCTAAGATTTTGCACAGCATATTTATCCATACATAGGTCCCAAGGCAGACTTTCAAGCCAACAACTGTGGAATTTACAAAACAATGTTTCTCAGTAAATTTGAAAAGGTAATTATAATATTAAAAGGCAATTTAATAGTTTTTTATTATGGTATAATTAAGCCTGCAAAGGCCTGCATCGATGTAACACATTTAAAACAATGGATAATGTGGGACATTTCCAATTTTATTTTCAGTTGACTACCTATTGTTTTATCTGCATTCAACGCATGCAAAATGTAACATTCAAAACAGGCCTTAATTACCTTTTTTTACTACAGGACATTCAAAAATATGAAGAAAACCCTGCTGAGTGTGTCAAATTGACACATTACTGGTTCAGTGAAGTAGAGGCTAAAGCAAATAGAACCAGGATTATAAATCAACTCAAGGGACTAAGTTTATTAGCAAGACATAGAAAAAATCTACTCTAATCTACTCTTTCTCCTTGTTTATACAACTGGGCTGCAAATTTACTAATGCTGCACAAACTGTAACTATTGAGTTCACATAAGGCCTCATTGATAGAGGAAAAGCGCTCTCGATGGGAGCCATCACATCAAAGCCATGTTGCTCAAAACATTTTAAGCCTGATGACTTTTTGGGACTCTGAATTTTATTGATTCTGAATTGGTTTAGAACAACGCACATTCAAGGGAATGTAGAGAAACGAAATTGGGGTTACCTGTATCCAACAATACAAATTGTGGTCAAAAAACAGATGGACTTATCTGCAAGACCTGGAAGGGTGATTCTTCAATTGTTGGTGGGTTTACATCAAACAATTTCGAGGTTGAGGATCCATAAACTATTGCTCTTGCATTATGAAGTAATGAGCATGTGATATACATTTTCTCCACTGCACTTATGTTCCGAATTTGTTCCGGCAACACTCAAATCACTGATGATCTTTTATATTTTATAATAAAGCAATAAACTGTACAAAAAAATTACATTTATGTCTCCCAATACTCTCAGCTCACTGGAATTATCAATATGAAATATGTTGTCAACACGTGTTTATATATCAGGCAATTCGCCTGATCTTTAGGAGGTCACCCGCGAACAGGTGACAACCACTGATCTCTATGTAGTTCCTATCACTCTCCCCTCTAAAATTAAATGTTATTTACATTTTATGGTAACTAAACAAAAACTTGAACTGAAAACCTAAAACTAGCTTGGGTTTAGAGTCACCGTCCATGTTCTATGAAAAGTTCTCTTGCATAACAGTTTCTCGAATTCGATCAGTTGCTTCAGCTGCTGCCCGTCTCTTACTCCGTCGTAGCGTTACCTCTTTCGGTTCACTTTCCTCTGGATCTGGTTGCGTCTTTTCATTTCGTCTGATTTCTAACGAACAGACCAAAGACAAAGGCCTTTGTATGACATGTCCCTTTGACAGGATCTCCACACCCCTGACGACTTCGTCCTTTCCTTGTATGAGCGCTGTCACTTTTCCCTTTCTCCATTCGCCTCGATTCTTTCCGTCACCAACAACTAGAACTATTTCACCAATCTCCGGACAATCAGCTCCCTTTCTGTTGACGCGATGATGCTCCATTAGGCTGTGTAAATACTCTGACGTCCACTGTTTCCATGCATGTTCTCTCTTTAACTTCATGCGCTTATGTAACTTGACGAGTTCATGATCATCTTCTGAATCCGACTCTTCGACCGTATAAACATCTTGACCCCACAGTATCGTGTTTGGCGTTAGAACACTCTCTTCTTGTTGTTCACTTTCGACATAGGTCAACGGCCTATTGTTGACATTTCGCTCAATGTTGATCACGACTTTTTGCAGCTGTTCAAACGGTAAATGTGATCATCCTAAAACCTTATACAAAGCCTTTTTGATATCTTTAAGGAGTCGTTCGTACATGCCCCCCCACCAAGGGGACTTAGAAAGGTTAAACTGCCAGACAATTTTCTGCCTTGCCAAATAATCTTGCAACTGCTCGCTCCTACTTATCTTTCGAATCCATGCTGCCGTTGTCTTGAAAGCTGCCCCGTTGTCTGACACAATTCGTTTAGGTCTGGTCTTCCTAGCGATAAAGAGGTTAAGCTTTCGCTTGAATTCTTCTGCCGATTGCGTTCTTGTCAGCTCTAAATGAACCGCTCTCGATGTCGCACAAGTGAAGATGAGTATGTAACACTTAGCATCTTCTTTCTTTTTTTCTTTATACGTCAATGGTCCCGCGAAGTCGACGCCGGTTGTTTCGAACGGTTGTTCGCTCTGAACACGGAAGTATGGCAAATCAGCGGTTCTTGTAGGACCATAGGGTTTCACCCGGAACACCTTGCAAACGTTGCACTGATTGATTATTCTCTTAACTGTTGTCCTTAATCGTGTTATCCACCAGTCTTCTCTGACGGCGGCCATTGTATTCGCTACCCCAAAGTGATTCGTTTCTTTATGTATATGCTTGATCAACTTGTCAGTAAATTCTCCTTTCTCCAAATATACTGGTTGGTACCCTGGTATTCTACCTTTACACCGCAATATACCGCTCTGATCATCACAGACAACCTCCCAGCCTGGGGTTTGTAAACTCTTTGAAACGCTTGCTTGAGCTCTTCTCACCCAACTCTCTTTCGATTGTTCTATCTCCTTCGTTGTTAACAGACCTTTTGTTCTTTCCTTTCCATGTTTTTTCCCTCTCGCGTTGCAAAGAAATCTGAGGACCCAGGCAGTAACACGTATAGTTCTCCAATAATTCGACCTCGAGAGCAACAAATCAAACGCGTCAGGATTCTTCTCTTTTGCCACAAAGACGCTTTCTGTCAACGGTTTCTGTTCTTCTTCAACGAATTTATTACGTTCCATTTTCGGCTGTTCTGGCCATTTTGTCTCGTCGGTCAACCACTTTGGACCTTCGTACCAATCAGCGTTCTCCAACTTGTCGATTGATGCACCGCGGCTTCCTAAATCCGCTAGATTATCCTCTGATGGACAGTACTTCCAGTCAATACCGACTTCCTCTGTAATGGCGGCAATCTTTCGTGTTCGATTGGAAACGAAAACCTTCCAAGGCTTATCCGGACTTTTAATCCAAAATAACGCCACTAGACTATCCATCCACACTGTAATCGATGCGATTGGTAAACTTCGTAATGCATCCATCAAGTTCTTGGCCATGTTGGCCACCATTTGCCCACTGACCAACTCTAGCCTTGCAATCGATGTGTTGCGTTTCGCAATTCTCGACACACATTCCTTTCACGATGCCACTGGAATGTTCGATTACAGCTATCGTAACGGCTGAACAGGCCGTGAAACTGGCGTCTGCAAACAGATGAAGGTGAATTGCCTTCACCTTTCTTACACTCCGAGCAATGCTTCGAGGAATCCTCACATTTCTGAGTTGTCGTCGCCATTTCAACCAATCTTTCGCTATGATACTCGAAACCTCTCCATTCCATCCAACCTTCTCGTCACATGCCTCTCTGTAGATTCGTTTCCCTTCGACCATGACTGGGGATATGATACCCAAGGGGTCATACACACTGCTCAATTCCTTTAGAATCTGCCTTTTTGTAACTGGTTCTTCCACGTTGGCTGGTGCTATCGGAATCTCTAACGTGTCAGCTCGCTTGTCCCAATTGTGTCCAAGAAATTTCGTAGGATTTTTCTCTTGGTCTAACGATTGTATATTCGATTCCCATTTATGAACAGGGAACTTAGCTGCTTCTAGGATCTCAGTTGCTTCTTGTTTGAACTGTACTAACTCCTCAGCGCTGCTTCCTGCCTTCATAAGATTGTCCACATAAGTATTCTGCTTTAATGCCTCCACAGTCTCAGGGAATTCCGCTGTGTAACAATCAAAATGATGTTCCAATGTTGCTCCGAGCATGAAAGGACTCGCCTCCACCCCAAACGGTACGCGCGTAAATCGCAAATGTTCTATCGTTCCGTTCACGTCAAACAGGAAACAAAATGCGTCTCGATCTTCTTTCTTCAGTCCAACCTGTAGGAACGCCTGCTTCAAATCGCCTGTTAGAAGGTTGGTAGCCATTCTCGCCCGAACAAGTACGTTCCATAGCAATGGTTGTAACGGAGGCCCTGTATACATGCATTCATTTATGCTGTTAGCCAATGGGTGAGGTCTTGCGCTGGCATCAAAGACCATTCTTATCTTAGTAGTAGAAGAGCTCTCTTTAATGACCGGTCTGTGGGGCATGTAGAACACACGCTCGCCCACAGGACTACCATTCGCTTTCTCTATAACTTTGTCTTCCAGCTGTTGCTCTACAATCTTCTCATACTCGCAATTTACTTGCTGATTCCGATTCAACTTTCTCATCACATTATTGAGTCTCTTTCGACTTTGGACTTAATTTGTATTTGATAACTCAGCTGTCGGTATCCAAGGAACGGAAACTTCATATCTTCCATCTGTCTTTCGTACTATATTTTCTCTGAAATCAGCGTACACGGCAGACTGATCTTTCTCCCCTCGATCTTCGACACCCAATACATCTAGCGAGTGTAACTGTTCGTATTCGCTCTGATCACGAACATACATACAACTTGAGTTGTCATAATCTTTTCCACCATGCACCACCCACCCAAAGGTGGTACCTTCGACCACAGGATCCTCTGGTTCACCTTTAATGACTTCTTCTGTCCTGATCTTACAATAGGTTGCATCTCCAAGGATTAGGTGTATAGGATATCTTTCACTTTCAGTACGATAGAAAGTCTTGCCTCTTATGTGTTGATACTTCTGCTTTAGCTCAACAAATGTCGGTCATTTTATGGTTGTAAAATCCGTCATCTCTGCTCCCGCTACCTCAATGTTCTCACTTGTCTTACCGTCCAAGGAATTTATTTTCACCTCAAAAACTGGCATTGATGTTCTCTTCGTTTCATTCACAGTAAGAATATTTCTGGTTTCATGTCGACTGGGAGACAACCTTAACTGCTCAACAGCCTCTTTCGATATAAAGTTCCTTCCTGAACCTGTATCCAGGTAAGCCCAGTACGTTTTCTGTTTAATCTTCAATGGTATGATCGCAGGCAAGGATCTATCTTCTGTAACCGGTGTGTAGCCATTCAGCTTTATATTGTCTCCATGTTGGTCTTTATCTTCCTCTGTCCTGTCACATAGGCTTGTATGATGTTTGGTTCTGCATTTAAAGCACCCTCTGCTATGGCATTTGCTCTCACGATGTCCTGTCCTTCCACAATTGAAGCATAGCCTGTTCTCAACGAAAAACTTTTTCCGCTCTCCAGTAGTTGCGTATGACTTGCACTGGTCACCCCAATGATTCTCTTTACAAAAAAGACACACTGGACTCTTCCTCTTAGAAACACTGTCCCTTTGCTGGGTGTACCAGTGAGGATCTCTCTTCTTACTTTCTTTGTTTGGGATATCAACCATTTTGTTTCGCTTGAGCCATCTCTGAATCGCTGACATTAACTTCTTCATATCCCAATCTTCCCAGTCATCATCCACGAGGACCAAATCCGGTTTCACCTGAGGAAGTTTGTTTAGGGTTGTAACTACAAAACCCTTTAACATAGTGTCCTCTCCCATTGTCTCGAGTGCATCACAGTTCTTACACAATGTCTCGTAAAACTCGTTAACTCTCTCATAGTTTCTTCTCTTCACTTGCTGTAACTGTATAATCTCTTCAATGTGCGCAGCAATTATCAGTTTATCATGTCCGTATTCTGCCTTCAGTCTTTCCCATGCTCTCCTATACCCTTGCTCACCTGGCTTCAGATTAGCAAGTCTTTCGCGTACCTTGGGTTTAACTGACTCTAGCAAATTACCAAATTTCTCTGAGTCAGATATTGACTTGGAATCTATCTGCGCCTTGAACATATTCTCAAATCTGATCCAGTCTCCTGCACTGCCATCAAATGGGGATATCTTCAATTCTGGTAACTTCGAGGTGCTTGTTCTTGCTTCCTTTTCTAATTTCCTTTTCTTCTCTGCTATCTCCAGTTCAGACTTCATTCTCTCTTCCCAGACTTGTTTCTCTTGTTTTAGCATATGACCACGTAGAAGTTGTTCCCTCTCGATCTTTCTCTGAGTTATCTCTTCTTCCTCTCTCATAGATTCTCGTTTTTCCTTTTCTTCTAAAGCCCGTACTAAACTTGCTCCCTTCTTGTTAAATGGCATATATTCTGCTTTTAAATCTCTATTCCATTGCCTTATTGCTCTCACTGACTCACTCCCCGTCTCTATTTTCAACTCCTGTAACTCTGATACCATATCATTTAGTTTATTTTGAATATCTTGTGTTCTCTTACACACCTGTTTTATTTCGTCGAAGTTCTCAGTTTCTACGAGTTCTTGAACGTCTTCCAGGTAGAATTTAAAGGACATTGGCAACAGATTTTTTTATTGCTTATTCTAAACATATTTAATGAGCTGACCATGAATATGCTATTATTCGACCACCAAATATTACTGTTTTCGATTTATACCCATTTTTCTTTACCGGGACTGCGTTTATCAGCCGCCATCTTGGCCCAGATTCACAAAAATTATATATTGCGCAACTTGACCGTCGTGACGTCATCTGCAGGTAAGAGCAAAGCAACAGCACATGTTTATATAGATGAACTTGTTGTCTGGGTGTTAAAGACTTAAAGTCCGAAAGTTTCTTTATTGTAATGGAAACTATTCATAAAAACCTGGTTGATGAAGTTTTACCGTACCAGCATGAGCCAGAAATTGGCGAAAAGTCCCAAAATTTAAGCGAGTATAGCGATTCGGACGTTGATAGTGAATCGCTATCTTCTGACGAAGAACACGACCATATATTCGAAGAACAAAATGCTTGGCGCTTAGAGTCTCTTGATTGGTGCAAGTGTGGCAATTGTAACTTTATGTCGAAAACTATCGAAAGTTTTTGTTGCCATGAGAAGGCATTGGAGTATAATGAGTATGATGCCCTACTTAACGAAGTTGAAACGCTTGGCGAAAAGTGTTTGACAGCGCATAGTGATTTTATTAATAACATGCTCGCTGAAGGAGTTCTAAAGATCGATGTCTGTCGTTATCTTGAAGAAAACTGGCCAGTTGACGACGAAGATTTGGAAAGAACTCATAAGCTGTATCGACTTGTATCGTACCAACGATGTTCTCGCTGGATATTCCAGATTTTAGGCAGAAAGAATCGAAGGCCTTTTCCTGCTTGCGTCTATTTGAAAATACGAGAACAATTTGCATCGCCCGAAGGACTTTACACTCATTTTAAATATTCGAAAACATGTAAAAGGTTAGAATTTTTATCTCACGTTGAAAATTAGAACTTTTTAATGCCAGTTTATATAATTTCAGAAAAATCACGTATTTAATATTTGGAGAATTACAATCTTGAAAATAGTATATCCCTATATATATACTTTACAATGATACCCGCATATAATATAAAAACATTTCTAAATAAATTTTGCCAATCTTGTCAATTGATAAATGTGATTACCAGAAATTTATTCATAAACATAAGCAAAAAAATCCATTTCAATTTGATTGCTTTTATAAATTGCCTTAATTTGCTTAATTTTTGGATGAAACATACCTGGTACTGATATAGAGGCAGAGAAACTAAAATTCTACTATAACATGAACTGTTTCTATCCAAACTGATATAATTCACATTTCGTAGTCAATCAAGACCTATTGATACACTTTTCTTGTTTACATTTACAGTCATGAATGCAAAATTTTTTTATAGCCTTGCAATTGCACTTTTTAGTTGCACATTTCCCTTTGCATACACATTTTGGCCTGTTTAATTCTTGTTCTCTATTTTGAACAGATGAATGAGTATCTTGAGGGACTGCTGGTTTGCTAAACCGGGACTTTCTTCTGGCTACAACCTGTTCTTTCAATGGTCGCTCTGCTCCTGCCAAGTACTTCTCAACTAATGATGGTGGTTCAGGAGGAAGAACTTCATTGGCATGAACTTTGGCTTTTTTCAAAGTAGGAAACTTTGAACGCAATGTAACAACTTCACTCAAAATTGTGTTCACATATTCTGTAACAAGAATTTCAATTAAATTAGCATTTTATCATACTCAACCTGCATGCATGTTGTATGGAATTATATATATGATACTCACCATAGGTTGGTTTTTCTTTGAGTGGTTTGGCAACAGCCTTTTCTCCCTTAAATGCCTTTGGGTAAGCAATACTCCATCTTAGCTCCCCAGCAGCAGTTTTGGCTTGTTTTCTAATGCTTTTCTCGTTGTAGTGTAAATTGGAACAGTATAACCTATCAAAATAATTAATGACACATGGATAAGAGTAAACTATGCATGAGAGCAAACTATTGCTTATGCTGTGCAGGCATCAGGGAGCCAGTCAGAAAAACGTACCTTGCAGTTAGTGAATGATAGGAAAAATATGTGTTTTTGGATGCAAGCAAGTTATCAATGGAGTGTTTTGACTCTAATCCTGATGTCTGATGATACTGTGAAAGCTTACGAATTGCTGCAATTAGGCGGGGCCTGGTCATCATCTCAGTAAGCTTTTTATATGGGGCAGAACCTATAATGTGAAAGCAATATACCATTTATACCATATTTCTTTCTCTTACCACTGACAACACCATGATGAGTGCATATCTATAGACACAACTCCACAAAGTTGGTAAAAACTTATTTGCTCTACCAAACACCAAATGAATTAAGTATCTTAAAATTTCCCCAAACCTGTTTTAAGCCAATCTCTTTCCAATGTTTCGTGAAGACATTTTGTAAACAATTTGTTTTCGGGATGTTCATGTATGTTGACAATATGGTTAAGTAAGCTGAGCCATTTCTCCTCTCTTTCATCAGCATTTGTGCTTGAGTTGCCAACCCAATATATATGGTTAATAATAGACTGCAGTACAAATACAGTAAGATGAGTTAAAATAATGGCATTAAATAATGTTTATAATAATAAGTTTTTTGTATACATGTTGATCTGCCTTTGTAGTGACTTGAAAGTATGAACTTGATTTTAATATTATTAAATATATCCTGTGTATTTAATTGGTCATTGTAACTTAC